CTAGACCAATAAATCTGCAAGCTACGGAATAAGGAGGTAGCCTCCATGAAGGTACTATGGAGAAGCAAGAATACGGAAGAGATGACGTGGGAAGCGGAGGAAGAAATGAAGTCTAAATACCCCCACCTATTTCAAATAGGAGATGTGGCTCGAGGTGGGATACCTCAGCACAGCCCTATTCAAGCTAGTAGGTTCTTAGGTAAGCTCTTATTTTTGACTTTTCGAATTTATAATAGACAGCTGTGTGAGGCCAGGTGTGGCATGTATAGAATGTTTTCTGGCTGCATGTAGGGTGGTTTTAGTCTAGTATACGGAGGAGACTCCGACAAAATTTTTCCAAGGAATCTAAGAGTAAACATTCGAGGACGAATGTTTCTAAGGGGGGGAAGGATGTTACATCTCGCGTTTCTCGAACGTTAAAGTTTCGTCTTCAGTTAATTGACATAGACTCGGGGGATGAGATTATCTTGAGGTTAGCATATTTATGCTATTTATAACAAGCAATAAGTAAGTGCCATGAAGGGTAAGGGGTACACGAATTAAAGAAGATGAGTTTCGTTGAAAGTTGTCGATTTGGGATAAAATACGGGCCGAGCAATAATACCCGATATTTATGGACTAATACCATACATGGTACTATATGACCATGATAGTATGATGTATAAAGTTTATTAAAAATAAGTAAAATTTTAAGTAATTTGAGACAATTCTTGATTATGCGGGTAATTGATTAATTACCGAGTAACGAAACATTACCTAATAAGTGGATAAGGATTAAACTTTCTCACCCTCGTCCCCACGTGGTAGCAAGCCACATCCTAAAGGAATGACTCTTAGTCATTCTTATTAGGTGGCAACCTAATATGCCAAATACAAGGCATTTCAATTCAAAAAATTTCCATACAAAACAATACTATAATGAGAAGTGGGGACGTTAGCATTCTGATGAGTTTCAACAAATTCATTCTCAAGATACTACAATTAGATTCTAACATTTCCAATACCAAGACATTACACTCAGAGTGAGAACGTTAGCCATTCCTTAAACTTTTCAAATTTCATTCTCAACAACACTTCCATCAGATTATAAACCTTACACTAGCAATGTGATCCTTCAAATTCCTACACAAATCTAACGAGAATTATTAAAATCATAGCAACGTATAATTTTGCGATTCTAAAGGAGTACGGTGCAACCTTTTCCAAGAAAATCATATGAATTTTTCCCTACTCCTGGTATGTTAAGGCTAAGCTCTTCCTTCATTTTGCATGTTCTCGTAATTACACGAGTTTGATAATGAGGCATAAAGAAAAATTCATATCCCAGAATTTACGTATATTTTCCTAGTTTTTTAAATTACAATATTCTCCTTATCGGGACTTCATATTCAATTGAGTATTTCCTTTTTCTAGTCAAGAGAGCAGAGAGTCTATATATACAGTATTACAGTATTTTCATTACCATCAAGCTATAATCGGTGGGCAGGCCCCTATTGGGCAACCTCTGATCAGATGGTAACTTATATACCGAGCCTACTGTGGTCGAGCGCCTATGAGTGAGCCCAGTTGGTCGAAATACAAAGCCTAGTATGGCCGAGCGGCTATGAGCGGGCCTACTACGACAGAGCAGTTTTATATATATGTATATATATATATATATATATATATATATATATATATATATATATATATATATATATATATATATATATATATATCGAGCCTTATAAGGCCGTAACGTCCCTTTTCTAGGGGCGCTGTATTTCATGCGTGCAGGTTCAGACATACAGACGAGTAGACCTCCTCAATAGGTGTTGCCCGAGTTCAGCTTTATCGGTAAGCTCCCCTTCCTTCGGAGTTGCCGGGTCTAGAAGTTTGGTGTACATTTTGTGTATATATGTAGATAGGTTATGGGTAGGTCGGGGCCCTGTTCCGATCACAGTACATCTATCACTAGAGGCTTGTAGACATATCCTGTCAATTAGTGTAGTATGTTGGGCTTGTAGGCCCTGTACGTATATTTTGTTGGCTTGTCAACTATAGTAGTTATGACGGCCTTACCGGCCCAGCTTTATGTTGACATTCAGTCCGCGTTAGCCTCTATTCAGTTTTACATTTTGCTTCAAACATTATCTTATAATGTGGCCCATGGCTAGAGTATGACATTACATGTTCAAAGCTTCTTAGTCGCAAGTGGTACGCAAGGATAGGTAAGGCACCGGGTGCTGGTCTCGCCCCTAGGCTCGGGGCGTGACAACCCTTAGGCTTACCCCTTATAGAAGGTACAGGGGGTAAAGCTCCAGACCGAGATTGACTCTGAGTTGGAGCTTGTGTTGCTGGACTAGTGGGCGTTTCATCTAATTCTTCTTCCTCATTTTCTTCATCCTCATTTTCTTCATCCTCATTTTCTTCGTCCTTATAAAACTATCATTGCCAAATTGTCTTTATAAAGTTTCATGATCTAGTTGTTCTTCGAAATTAATATTATAACATGCGGGATTTGGAAAAATGAAGTTTCATCAACATGAGTTATTTTATCTATATGTTTTCTAATTCTAGGAGAAGGGCTAGGATTAAGATTAGGATTACTACTTTTACCTTTATTATTTTTTTATTACTTTTTTTAAATAAGCCAAATACATTTTTAGGTGCCATAATTTAAATACGAAATTAAATTTAAAAAGTTAACACAAAAATTAAACACATAAATGAAATACGAAAGTAGAACACATAAGTAAACACAAAAATAATACGCAAAAATTATATATTAAAATTAGGAGATGGAACGAGTGCACAGTGATTAAATATTGAAACTTGAAGAAATTACCCAAAATATTGCTCCAAATACTCGACGAATTAATTTGAAGCTTGAAAGTTGCTCCAAAAGTTTGCCCAAATAGTTGAAACTTATTACTCGATTGTGAGAAAATTGAGAGAATAATATAGATAGAATGTAAGAGAATTGAGAGAGCATCATTGATTTTTGTGGGAAAAAATAAAGAAGGCTGGGGGTATTTATAATTAAAAATAGGGCCAAAGTGTAATTTAATAAACTTAAAGGTTATACTAAAAGTTTGGGGGGTAAGGGGTGTTTTGGGGGGTGGGGAACAAATATGGCTGTTTTTGGACGTTGGAAACGGCTAATTTTTAAATTAAAGCCGTTGCCCAACGGCTATAATTTAAAAAAAAAATTAAAAAGGACGCGAGACGGGACGGGACGGGACAGAATGCGACGAGATAAACTGGACGAAATGGCCATCCCGTCCCATTCCGTGTCCCGTTTAACATGGGCCCATCTCGTTTAAAATTAAGTGGGACGGGACGCAGGATGGGACCGGAACGGGACGTCCCGTCCCGTTGGACAGCCATAATACCGACTAGAGGCGGTGGTTGGTGATGGTGGTTTAGGTAGTAATTAGTGGTGATTGATAGTGGTTGCGATTATGATTGAGGATGGTGGTGGTGGGTGGTGACAGTTAATAATGGCGGGTGGTGGTGGTGGTTTATAATGATGGACAGTGGCGGCTATGTTTGTTGATGGTGATGGAGTGGTTAGTTGTGGTAGTTGAGGTGGATGAGTTTTGGTTATGGTTGAGAATGATGGTAGTGGGAGTGGTAGGGATGGTGGGTGGTGGTAGGGATGGTGGTGGCGGCTATGATTTAGGATGGTGGTGGTTGTTGAATATGGTGGTGATGGGTAGCATGGTGGTAGTTGATAATGGTAGGCGGTGGCGGCAGTTAATAATGAATATGGATGATAGCATCTTAATGAAATTAAGTCTCTGTTATAGATCTTAATCATACAGACCTATTCAGACCCAGTAGGTGATTGTGAAGAAAAAAAATACACACACTTAATGATTATGTTGGATGATTTCGACCGGGGATTTAAACAGCTATACCCTAGTCTTTCTTATTATCGTTACTTGGTTGACGGGTTAGGGAAAAAAGCTAGTTGGAAGTAATCTCTTCTTCTCAGTGAAAGCTAAAGGCCCTTATAGTAGGAGTGTGGTGCATGCTCTCTTTATTCTATAGATGCGCTCCTGGAGGGAAGCCAGAATTTTTGATGTAGATCGATCAATCCCGCCCTGTTCAAATGATCGCCCCGCAATAGCAAGGGTTATTCAACTAAGACCGAATTCTGTAGCAAAGGAGAGCAGGAAAAAGACAACAACGGTTATTCTAATTGAATGTCAACCCGCCTATTCTGATTCACTTTACCTAATAAAGGGCTATGCGAAATAGGGATTGCTGCTTCCATTGCGCTACCTTCCTAAGCCCTTACTCCTTTTCCTTTTGCACCTGCCTTGTCAAAGTAGAAGATGTACATTAGTCTGATGATTAAGATTCACACCTCCATTAAATGCAAACAAATTAATTATTTCTGGTAAAGCCCAACTTGGCGAATTTTTTTAAGTGAGGTCCTCGTTAATGCGACAAAGTTTAGATGACATCTAGACCATTTTACCTTGAACTAAACCGCCCCATTACTAATATAGTAACGTAGAACAGTATCGAATACATTATACTATTATCGTATGAATGATCCTATTTCATTTCTTCTAGAAGAATATATTTATCCAACATGAATAAATATATAAAAGTAATCTAGCAAGGAATAAGTCTCTTGTTTGGCGTTTGGAATACAGAATCGCTGCAGTCGTCACTTTACTATTGCAGTTAGTCATCCTCCTCTCAGACAAATTCAAGGTGCAAGAATGTAGTTTGTTGAGAATGTAGTTTCTTGCATAAAGAAAATCGTCTTTTATGTGTTTAATTTCTGAGTTCCTCGAACAGAAGAAGTTCAACCCCATTTGTCAGTTTTACCTCTGATCAGTTGACCTTAAAATTACAGACCCTTGTTTCTCCTTTAATTTAAGCTTTTGTATTTTAGCATCATAGCAAGCAACCACTAACATTTAATCCATCGTAGATTTAGCTAAAAAAAAATAATAATAATGAAGGCTTTTAGAAGAGCACTGCCACTGCGTAGTCATCTCTAGATCAAGAAAACCAAATTTATTATTATCTGAAAACAAAGCACAACCACCACAATTCAGAAAGAAACCCATGGCAAAATCATGGGCATTAACCAAAACAACCCCTTAAAATCCAAACAACTAATAATATTCAACAAACTTCTTAAAAACCATGAATCTTGATCTGATCCTTTTTGACAATACCAGCAGTCACAAGAAAGTGAGAAACATTCTTTCTCTGATCTCCTTGAAGTTGTATCACTTTTCCAAGTTCCTTATCCTGCACAACATTACCGTTGCAACAGAACTCTTTTTTCAGGTCTTTGAGGATCTTTTCGTAACTGAATTGTTTCCTCAGTCCTTGAACTGTTGTCAAGCTTTTCTTTCCATTCCTTTGTTGTATACGAATATGAACATACTCTTTGGCTCCAGGGGCACCTGAGTCCTTAGCCTCAGCAAATGGATCAAAAGCAGATGGGATCTGGACGTCGATATCAACCATGTACCTAGCTGGAAGAGAACTTCTCACCCTCCGAAACTAAAGCTTCAAAATTGGTCACACAAAAGCTGCAAAAACAACACCAATTCAATATCCAAACGATCAAAATACCAATAATCCAACCATAACAACAACAATAACTAAAAAAAAAAAACGGTATAATCTCACAAGTGGAGTCTATGGAGGGTAATGTGTACGTAAACCTCACCCTACCTTCTCCGAAAGGCTGTTTTCGGTAGAATATCGGCCATAATCCAATTATATAAACTATTATTCCGTTTCAATTTACATATTGGAAATGGAGTTTAGAAAGGAAAATATTTGAAAGTTCTGATCTTAAACATGTCTTGTACTTTATAATTTGGAACTTGAGTCCATAAATATTTGTGTGAGAAAACTTCTCGTAAGGTTTAAACGGCAAATTTACATTAAAATATTTTTTGAAATTAGAAATAGAACGTTCTTCTTTAAACGAAAAGAGAGAGAGAGAGAGATTCGTATAAATAGAAACAGATATGAGATGATCAACATATTAAGAATCCAACTACTTAACAATCAAGAAATATGAGATAATCAACATATCACGAATCAACTACATAACTAATAAGCAATTTGAGATGATCAACAAGTAAGAAACCAAAATTCTAAGTAATGGCAAGGTGATTCTACCAGCTAAATGGAATTCGACAAAAAGGGAAAACTGAAGAACAAAAAGGCAAAAATTACAGAAATAAGGAAGAAAATATTAAAAGTGTAAAAACAGAGGAAAAGAACTAACCTTAAAAGGCTTGATCAAATAGATGAAACACTGGCTGATGGAGAGGAGAAGAATGCTACCTTATTATTTATAGGCAGGAACTAGAAATTGTGGCGGTGCGTGTGGGGTCATAATATTCCCAGCCACATATAATGTTAATTGAGGTTTAAGTTTGTTAAGTATTAATTATGGTTAATCCTAATTAGAGTGGCTAGAGGTTACATCGGACGGTTGTGATTTATTGTAGCTTCGTATTTGGTCATACTTAGGAAGGGTAATTTGGAGATTAGAGTTATGAAAAACGCGTAGATTCAACGCAGGGATACATATGCTTGCTTTACGGATACGGCTGATGAATTGCGGGGGCCACACAAGTTGGGTCAACATGTGTGGGACCCGATTCTTATTCCTATCTGCAAAGAAGAAGAATCCAGACAGATTCCAGATAAATCAGAACAACTTGGGCTCCACTTTGCGTGTTTAGTGTGCTTCACTCCTATCTCATTGCCGATTGGGCTGTAAATTTTTGTGGCCCACCATTTTCTCATCAATGGGAGAAATTCAAAAATGTCAGATTTACAAGTAGTCACCGAAAAAAAAGTCACAAAAGTAATTGAAATTTAGTTTCTTTTCGTGTAAAGATAAATTTGAACAAAAATATTGTTCAAAATCCAGAAAATATTTCAACATAATATACTGGAATTTAAGTGGAGGACGCATGGTGCACTAGTTCATGATACATGACGTATAGCCGCACATTCCTCCAAGTCTTGGCAGGGCAAATGTAAATCTAAAAGCATGGTCTTGTTTCCAGTACCATAAGTTCTTTTGATGTTTGCAAGACATGATTCACGTATAAGAGGGTGTTTGGAATAGCTTATTTTAAGTGCTTATTGGCTTTTAAGCACTTTTTTAGTTTGTGTGGTGTTTGGCAATGATAAAAAGTGCTTAAAAGCACTTACTTTTAAGCATAAAAAGTACAAAAATAAACCAAAAGTCAAAAGTTGGGTATTACCAACTTATGGCTTTTGGCTTTTAGCTTAAAACTTTTTATAAGCCAATCCAAACACCCTCTAACTCTAGTATATTATACTGTAATTCCAGTATATTATACTGGACTTCCAGCATTATATACTAGAGTTCCAGTATAATATACCGGTCCAACATAATATGCTGGAAGTTCATACATATGTGCTCCAATCTCCAGTATATTATGATGAAACTTCCCGCGTGTTGGAGTTCCAGCATAATATGCTGGAAGTTCATACACAGGTGCATTAATCTCCTGTATATTATGCTGGAACTTTCCATGTTACAGCAAAATAGCGGCTATTTTTCAATAGCTTTGCAAATGCTAGCTATTTTTCAATTACCAGACCGAGGACTGGCTAGCCCGTGCTATTTTTACTCTTCTTTTACATTGAAAAATTGACACTGCATAACAACATACAAGAGGAATTGGCAAATTATTGACCATAAATTATTGAGGAATTTTCATAAATTACTATATTTTAGGGCCTAATAATTATAATTTGCCTAATTATCATTCGTAGCTACTATTCAATTGTTACTAACATGCATAACTTATATTCAAACGCGCAACGAATATAGCTTGTGTCAACTATGTTCATTCGCGCAACAAATACAATGTGTATCAACTGTATTCATTCACGCAATTATATTCATTCGTTCAACGAATACAATGTGTATCAACTGTATAACCAAGACGAAATACAAAGGTGCATACAAAGGATACAACTTGTATCGACTGTATCATGGGTGTATACAATGGATACAACATGTATCGACTGTATTTGTTCGTGCAACGAATACAACTAAGACGAAATACAGAAATACAGAAAAATAAATTATTCTTGTTGAGAGTCGAACTCAAGACCTTCGCTAACTAAGCGGGCGCTCTAATCAACTAAGCTATGAGAGCTTATTGCTCTCTTGTTCAGTTTTAAAAATTAATCTCTTATTTTATTGATTTGCTATAAAATTCAAATATAGCTACGAATGGTAAATTTGCTGAAATTATAGTTACGAATGATAAATACAATATAAATATTTGAGATGTTGCATAATTTTTTCTAAATTATTTTAGCAAAGACAGCTCCAAAAAAAATTGACATCGTATAGCCAAATTTAAAACTTAATTCCTATTTACATTTCACTTTTCACTTTTTCGTAAGGGAAGTAATGTTATAGAAACTTCATCAACAATTATTCCTCGTGTTTTCTTTCTTTCTATTTGGATCGAATTAGGGGTATTAAATGAGCAGGTTCAATTATATGTATTTGAATGAGTTAAAGTGAGTTGAGTTGATAAATGCAATGGACTATAAGTCTATAACGTGTCCAATGTCTGCTTGGACTAAAATGATTAGGTCAATTTGAGAAATATCGGTCATAATTCAACTCGTCTAATTTAATTTGTTTTATATTTTGTTTATCATGATTATTTCAAGCAAATAAATCTCAAAATAAATAATTTTTGAACTTCTTAAGTAAGTTTTCTTATGGGTCAATTTGGACTACATATGTAGCCTAAATTGGTCACATTATCCACTTTTCAGTTCATGCAATGGAAAAATAGTCAATGGAGTTTCACCTGTGAAATTTGAAATTTCATAACAATGTTATTTTTCAATTACAAGATCGAAAAATGATCAATTGGCCTTATCTCTACAATATACACCTAGCTTAGGTGCTTAACCCCACCAAATCTGAACAAATTGGAGGGATTATACTTTCATGGCTAAATAAAAAATTCAGGTCGAATGTCCTCAAATAATGAGCTTGTTCGGGAAAGAGTGTTTAGAATTGCACTTTTCGTCCTCTTTGAGCCGAGAGTTTTTTGAAAACAGCCTCTCCACTTCTTCGGGGTAGGAGAAAGGTCTGCGTACACACTACCTTCCCCAAACTCCACTAGTGAGATTCTATTGGGTCGTTGTTGTTATTGTTTGTTGTACAGTTTAAACGTGTTAAAAATTTGAACTTTATTAAATTGATGCGTCTTAAACTTTGAAGTTTATTTGATTGGATTTAGTCGGAAATTAATGTTTTGGCCAAGTCTACATAAAAATATGAAGTATGAACTCTAATTATGCGTCGATAAGTCGACACACTTAATTATTAAACTGAGGAGGGTAAAAACTTTTTTCCAATTGAGATCGACCCTTTTCCTTAGTTATTGAGTGCATTAATAACTAATGATAGTAGAAGTGGATATTAGATTAATATTTAATACATTTATCCTTTTTTTTTTTGTTTCCCACCCGGTGTTCTTTACTCATATTGGAACTCAATTAAATCTAGATTTGCGACGGAAAGTCCCACATTATGGGGGTAAAGTGACAATAAGTTCTTTCAAAATTGACTATTTGCCCCTCTGTTAGAGGTGTTCTAGAAATGTCTGTGATCGAGTAAATAGCACCCTATGACTCCATACCATGACTTGAACCCGAGACCTCTCGTTAAGGATGAATGAGTATTTACCAATCCACCACAACCCTTGTTGGTTATTTGTCCTAAATTTAATCTTGTTAAAAGATGATAATTTAAGATATAGGATGAAATTTGGTATTGCAATTTTATCGAGTTTCCGGCGTTAGAAAAAGCTAAAACTGAATAATTGGTGTTCAGTGTTTGGTTTATAAAACTAACGAAAAGCATCGAAAAGCATGTGCAACAGAATATCGCCGATAAATATGTGGTCTAATCCACAACTTTAAACTATTTTAAAAGGCCAGTCCACTGAAAAATGAGAAATATATTCTGCAACTTATTTTATATTGGGTACCAATTTGATCAAGGCACACAATTAGAAATCAGCTAATTCATATGTGAGAATCTAAGTGGGCGTTCGGACATAAGAATTGTAAATTTCGGAAAAAAAGTGATTATTTTAAAGTGAAAATGGTGTTTGAAAATTAGAGTTATGTTTGGACATGATTATAATTTGGGATTTTTTTTTGAATATTTATGGGTGATCTGAAGTGAAAATTTTGAAAAATAATTTTTTGGAATTTTTTAAATTTTCGAAAAATTTCGAAATTCATCTTCAAGTGAAAATCGAAAATTTCATGGCCAAATATTGATTTAAAAAAAAAAAGTGAAAACTTTTTCAAAAAAAAGAATCTTTTTTTATGACCAAACGGGTCCTTAGAGTTATTAATTAGAGTTGTGTAGATATATAAATTCGTCTACTAGTAAAAAGGTTGTAAGGAATACAAATTAAACAAAAAGAAGGAACTTAATAACAACAATAATAACATACCCGGTATATTTTTACAAGTGAGATCTGGGGAGGATAATGCGTAAGCAGACCTTATCCTTATCTTGAGCAGGTAGAAAATTGTTTCCGATAGGCCCTCTGCTCAAGACAAGCATAATCACAACAGTTAAGAGAAAGAAATATAATAGTGAAAAAGTCATGGAAAAGAAGCAATAATAACAACGAGATATTAACAAAACTGGAGCAGAAGCAATATTAGGTAGTAATAAAAATTTAAGAATAAGACTAAACAAGAATAATATTAGAACTACTGGTAAGAAAACGAAAAGAGAGAATTAATAATGGAATTAAAAATAAAATCTAAGTGATCTTTCACATTGATAGTAGTCAATATTCATTATAGCGAAAGTAGTTTGTCATTTTATGTATGTGCATATATACAACAATACACAATACGACCTTACTATATGTAATATTTAAAACATTTGTAATCAAAGGATGAATGATAGTGATAGTATCAATAGTACCTAACATTGTTCATCCACTATTTTAAACTTCAACATCAAACTATATCAAATAAATTTAGATAGAAAAAGCTTCCTACATATCAAATTAACCGTTTATCATAGGTAAAAGACAATTGAAAGTCCATTTGATTAGCATGTATTATGTGTAAGTGGCGGCAGCGATACGGTGCAAGTGCACCTGCTAACTTAAGATTTTGACATAACTCTGCCTCCAATTTAATGTCAAGATACATAAAAAGAGTTAACCTGCAACCTATAAAATAAAACAAATTAAATCTCACCAGAAGTACTTCTTTCACCTTTACACTATTTCCTTCGTTTCAGTTTGTTTTAACATATTTTCTTTTTAATTCGTTCCAAAAAGATTAATCTCCTTCAAGATTTGAATATAATTTAATTTAAATTTTCAATTCAATCCTCAAGAGAAGCTTTTATAGCTAAAAAAAATACTCTGTCATGTTTAAAATCTTAACTTCAAAAAAATTATGGCCACACACATGTTATGACTTGTTTAAGACTTCAAGTTTTAAAAGTCTTCATTTCTTTCTTAGACTATATACTTATTCAAATGGGTTACATAATTGGACAAAGAGAGTATATATTCCCACATGTGGCGTCTGGGGAGGATAGTGTGTACGCATAACTTACCTCTACCTAATGAAAATAGAGAGGAGATTCAGTTACTCATGAAGTGTGGTAAAAGTTAGTAATAAGATAACATAATCTTTTTCTATATTTGTTTTGCTGTAATTTTTTTCATTATTTAGTAATTTATTTTTCCTGATTACAATCCTTATTCTTCTATCTATATCTTTGATTACGATTCTTTAGCATTCTTCTTCCCTTTTGTACCTGAGCAACCTTGCTCATCCATCTTGTATTTAAGGAATCTCAATGTAATAGATAAGGACAGTTCTCTGCAAACTCATTCTTGAACCTCTTTATGGTATCAGAGCCTTTACCCTCTAACAAGTTTTTTTTCCACGATCCTTTCCTTTGCCGGTGTTGTTTAACTTCTCTTTGCTACCATGACTGTCAAATCAAGTTCAGCAACCACCCCAATTGTGCCAACTTCCAGTTCATATATTCTTCCTTCTCATGGTGTTATTAACACAATCTCTCAGGCTAGTCAATTTGTCACAATCAACCCAACCTCTCAACTTCCAATCAAGTTTACTAGTAGCAGCAATTCCCTAACATGGAAAGCACAATATGAGGTGCTCTTTCTTGGATATGATCTTGTTCTATACATTGATGTAACACTTCCATGCCCGCCGGCCGCATATCCAAATTGCAAAAATTGGCTCCGACAAGATAGTATTATTCGACATGCCATTATGGCGTCGGTTGATGCCACTATTGCGTCCCTTGTTGCCGCAACGCCCAATGCCTATGTTGCTTGGACAAAACCCACTCAACAGTTACAAACAAGTCACAAACAAGAGCCTATGGCCTCCAAAACTCTCTCAATTGCCTTGTTAAAGGTACCAAGCCTGTCGCTCAGTATCTCAATGAGATACGTGCCCTTGCTGATGAAATTGCCATTGCTGAATCCCCTATTAAAAGTGCTTCCCTTGTGATTAAGGTTCTTAGTGGCCTTGGTCCTGAATACAATGAGATGAGTGCTGTTATTCGCACCAGAGACACACCCATCACTCATGAAGAGCTTTTCGACAAGAGAAGCAGTCATGAAGTTTTCCCTCATCACTGACAAGAATCTGCTGCCATCACATCCTAATATACCCAAAGATCCAAACTGCAAAATTGCCATCCACAACGACAGAACAACTATAACAGCAATAACAACTATAATACAAATAACAACCGAAGTAACTACCAACAGTATCCTAATGAAAACAACAATTGACCTCAGAATCAATCTACTAGCAACTCTAGTCGCCAGCAGAATTGACGCTCTTCCACTTCCAACAACAAAAAACTCGAGTTCAATGCCAGTTATGTGAGAAATTTGGACATATTGATGATGTTTGGCTTAATGTATGCATATTTTGATGTATATTGCCTCACATTGTGCTCATGTCTCATAGATTTGAGATGTATAATATAATAATTTGTGCTAATTTATGGTATTTCTATGTGTAGAATCACTTAGACACGATTTGGGATGAAAGTGCGCGAATTGGAGCGAAAATGGGAAGAAAAGGCAAAAGTGCACATTTGAGGGCCACAAGTAGCGTGGGGCGCTGCCTGTGGCGCACAAAACAGAAACTTGGGGAAGCTGAGCGCTAGGGCCAGTGTCACGCCCCAAAACCGAGGAGCGCGACCGGCGCTCAACAGAGTAAACCCGACCGAGCAAGCCTGTTAGATTTTATTCTACCCAAAGTCATCCTTAAATAAAGAGGAGATGTACTCCATTATTCAAACTCCAAAAATATTTAATTAAAACTTTCATTTTGGTTCCATTAGCAGTTTCAACCATAATGTCCAAAATTTTACAAGTCTATAGTTTCTTTAAAAACATGTTTGCCAAATACCAACATTTTTAGTTAAATCCCCAACATCAAAAACCACCCACAATCTGTCTGCGGGGCCTCTAAATACAACTGGAGAGTAATATGGAAATACCAGCAACAAGGCTTCGGTTATACCTCAAAATACAAAGTACATGAGAAACACAAGATACAGGACGCCGAAATGAAGTGGGGCTCACCAAGTCAACTGGAAAGAGTGTACTGCTATCACTAATCGATGTCGCCTGCTGTGGGACCACCTGTATCAATCAAAGATACAGCGCCCCCAGCAAAAGGAACGTTAGTGCCGTCAAATAACACTAGTATGTATAGCTAGAAGTGCTCTTTCAAAATCGAATAACCACATAAGAAAGAAAATCATAGTACATCAAGCAACTATAAAATGTCCCATAGATTTACATTTCAGGTTTTTATTGTACTTACCTCACTCTGAACTTCCTTGGGGTCAATTCAACCATATGAACTATACGTGGGGTACAAAATATAATGTAATCACAACAACATGTATAAGCAAGGGCAATGAAAAAAAAAACCACCTACCGTTTGTGTTAAATAGGCATCTTACCAAACCATTCGGTCCTTTCTTATTGTACACATATACGTTTTATAGACCGTTTGTAAGACTTACATATAACATTATACACCTATGCATTTCATAGCTCGTCCATAGGGTTCACATATTATATTATACACCTATGCATTTCATAGCCCATCCATAGGGTTCGCATATTATATTATACACCTATGCGTTTCATAGCCCGTCCATAGGGTTCGCATATTATATTATACACCTATGCGTTTCATAGCCCGTCCATAGGGTTCACATATTATATTATACACCTATGCGTTTCATAGCCCGTCTATAGGGTTCACATATTATATTATACACAATAAACCTTTCATATCGTACTTAGTTTCATTGGTGCCTTTAGCTACTCACAAAATCATAATTTATTTGCTCTTTTGGCCATACATACGATTCTTCTTTCATGGCACAATGGCCGTATTTCATATTCTACACTTTTCTTTCTTCTCATGGATCATCATCATAATTATCAACATATAAAATATTCCAAAAATCACAACCTTAAGTTCATTAGAAATGAATACATAAACACAATAGATTTCTTTCCAATAAATGGAGTAAAATGATTGGCAATCGAAGCACAAGTTAAAATCATAGACAACTAACACCATTTAATTCTTGAAATACTTTCCCCCAAAGAGGGAAACACACAATTTCAACTCATGAATATGTAAGAGCTCAAAGCATGTTGGGAAAACTTACAAGATTTATCATTAGTGAACACAACCACATTTTTTTTGGGCATGACTTGAGTATGTAAGATTTTAGGCAAATCCACTTCCGAAATCATTTATAAACACTTGAATCAAGGCTCACTCTAGAACTTTTCTCACATCAATCATTTCATTTCATCGGCACCGTTGGCCACCCTTAATATCCACAATTCACTTATTTAACTTCCAACATCTTTATATTTTACCAACAATACATTTCCAATCAAGACTTTAGGTATACATATGAGCAATTATGAGTCTTAAGCATATCGAGTTTTCTCACACAATTTGGCATACTCGCCTTTATTTGAAACACGACGCACAGCCGTAATATTTTAATACGCAACCCATACTTTGATCATATATCTTTATTCATAAGGCTCATTTTGTAATAATCAAGTTTATAGGTAATAACCCGGAAAATAGAAATTAGGAATTTTGAGCCAGCCATACTTGAACTTATGGAAACATTTATGGAATTCGATTCTAAGAGAGAAAGTTTAGCCAACATACCTGAGATTTGACCCTAAATAATACTACGATGTCCACCACACTAAACAACTTCAATCTACAACAATGCAACACATTTGTACCAATATTAGTAAGATTTCTATACTTTAAGTCATTAAGACTTTTTATCAAACATCTAATGTGCATGTCTTTCTACAACCACCTTCAATGGAATTTCTTCACCTAACAACCACCTTCCATACCAACGATTCACCTTACCGTCATCTCTAGTCTTTCAACAACTTCAGTTAGCACATGCATGCCCAACAATTCACACCCAAACCATCAATCTCCTTAATTAACCCATTTCACAATCTTTACAACACCAACACAACCTAGGTTAGGCACTTATGGCTTCCAATCACCATCCCATAAGTCCTAACATGTGTTTCATACATAAATAATTACCATAGAGTAGTTAGAGATGGTAGACATACCTCTTGTAGTAAGAATCTTGAGAATTCCCACTTGTAGTGTTCTTGACCAATTTAGGGTTGAATGGAAATCTATGGATTTTCAAGATTAATCCTTGTTAATAGAGGTGTTTAGGAGTAGTAATCAACTCAAAATACTCCAAAAATATTACCTTGGATCATGGGAGGGAAGTATGGAACAGATTCCCCTTGATAGAGCAAGCCCTAGCTCAAAAAATGACTTAGAGACTCTCCATACCCGGTCTTGGGGGTATTTATAGGGCTTCTAAGTGCGAGGCCGTGCACGGGCCACGCATAGGCCGCGTACACAAGGCAGAAACTTCCAAATATGCGCGCGCTCCGGCCGCGCATCTGGGCGCGCATATGACACAGGTCCAGTAAAATGGCAATAACTTTCAGTATACATATCCAAATGAGTAACGGTTTGATGCGTTGGAAACTAGACTCAAAGAGCTTTAATTTGATAGGTTGTACATCACATAACTCTCTCTCTCTCTCTCTCTCTATATATATATATATATATATATATATGTGTGTGTGTGTGTGTCTCTCTCTATCTCTCAATCCCTAATTCCAGTAATGTAGAGCAAAGGAAAAGCGGAAAAGGGTTCAAAATGCCCTAAACTATTGGAAAAGGTTTAAAAATACCCTTCATCAACCTATTGGGCTAAAAATAGCCCTCCATCCACCTTTTTGGTTCACTTATGCCCTTTGACCGTTAGGTCAATACTGAATTAAAAATAATCACTATTCTTTTTGTAAAACTTAAAAAAAAATATTTCACAAAATATTTTCGTTTTTTTTAAACTAATGCACCAGTAGTCCACTAATTTAGTAAAGTCTTCTTTTTTTTTTTTTTTCAGTTTTCACAAAACACAATCAATTTTTACAAAAAAATACTTTTTTTTTATTTTTTCAGTTTTTTGAAAGCATTNCCTATTTGAGGGGAGGACGTGACTTTGAGAGTAAAAACAAAGTATGAAGCACTTGGGAGCACGGATTTGATTAATTCTTCCATTCTTCTTCTAGTATTCATTGACTTTATCTTTGAAAATATTATTTGATGATTGTATGAACATGAGTGGTTAAGAACCCTATTGTTCTGGGGTCATGGGTGCTACATGTATGTTGATGTTCGAAGTTAAAAAATGGTGTTTCGTACTTTGTTTTCTCTCAAAGCCACGTCCTCCCCCTCAAAATAGGTTGGCTTTTATATGAGTTGGGGGCATCTTGAGGTCGAAATAACCGATTCCTAGTCGAAATAGGATATGTTTGCATTTTGAGCGTCCAGACTTCTTTTCTAAGGGTGAGCGATTTTCTTTGATATATGTGACACCTTAAAATATATTTAATTATTTGATTTGAATATGTAGATTCAAAGTATTCTCTTGTTCTTGTTGTGAGGCACATGACTTCATGAGGGATATGTAATGTCATTAGATTTCTCTATGATGTTGGGTGTTCAAGCCATAAATGCATTGTGACATTGAGTCGATTTTTGATGCTAGGATTATTATGAGCACGTTGTCTTTGTTATAAATATTTTTGTAGAATGGCATAAGTAAAGGGAAGTATGAGTGATTGCATATGCTAGAGTTTAATTGTTGCTATCAACCATGGTCATTGGTGTAGTTTACTTTAAATGTGTAAATATAATGTGCTCAAGAATATTGTGAATTGTTGGTTGACTCGAGGATAAGCAACGTTTAAGTGCGGAGTAGTGATGTTCGGTAAAATTACATATATTTAACCATTATTGCCTCACGTTCTAATACTTTTAATCATCTTTTGAGTGTTAATTATATTATTTTTTTGCTTATATTTTAACTGTGTAGGAATAAAATTGTGTGACGATAAAAAAATTTGGAGAAGAATTGAATAAAACGCTGAAGAAAAAAGAGAAAAAATAAAGAAAGAAGACAAGGGGGGACACCTTTTGGTGTTTGCCCCCCCAATTGGAAGACAAATATATACAA